TCCCTGGTGTCTGACAGTAAACTTTCCGTTTGGCCGGCGTCAATTCCTAGGGATTGACGGCGGATTTTCTGTTTGGGCGGCGTCGGTCCGTGGGGACAGACAGCAAGCTTTTCGTTTGGGCGACATCAGTGCGTATAACCAGCTGTGTCACCGTTAAAAAAAAATTTGTATACTTTTGCATTAACTGTACCATCATTACACTCCAAAGGGCAGATAAGAAGGTGAAACGAAGTAATCTTCTGTTCATACTCTCCACCCCAAACACCTCTTGACGACTCAATGCTGGTCCGACTTATACCCATGATACAAATAGACGAGGTATATAGCTACTAGCCATCATATTTTGGTTAAGCTCGCGCAGGGATCAATGAGGTCACGTTCAAAACGACATCAGTTTTACTTTGACGGGACTTATTTACGTTTCGGTTCGTGAGCAGATGGCACCTGAAAATGGAACTGGTATTATGGCGCGACAACATAACATATGTAAAGTCATTCAATCAGAGTAGAGAGGTTCTAATGACGTTACTATCCAAATGCGCAGAACCGCTTGTGGCTATACCTCGTTTATTTGTATCATGGTTACACCGACGTTCGAGACAAAACTTAATAGTAGTACTATGCCGGGACTACTGCTTTAGACCAGGTCAATGCTTGTAGAATATCTTAAATCGTCCGTGCAGAAAACCTTGGACGCATCCATGGCGCTAGCGAAAAATATATGGTTTTCTAATAGCCCATTAATGGAAAACTGGGGTGGGCCAACCGAAAGTGTCACGCTGTTTCTAGAATTTTGCTTGACTTTTGCATTTTTTGAGGCACTGCAAAGATTTGCTTATAATATGCCATGATAATTGTGTTATTTTGTGAGCGATATCTTTTAGCGCCACGGAAAACGCTAATTTAGCTATTAAATGTTCTATGTATACCTATATGTACATATACATAGTGTGCTAAAGTGGAAATTATTATCTATTTTATTTAAAATAACTTTTTTTTTTAATTTCAAACTTTTTTTTTTCAAGTCAAAATGTATATTACCGAGGAATGAAAGAATTTATGGACGTATTAAATTCATTAAAGTGATGGATTTTGAAAAAAAGTTCTTAAACTGTAAAATGACATTAATATCATCAGCATTAACTTTGCACAATCATATTATCGCTTGAAGAACGCTTTTTATACATCTTAAATAATCCGCACGCACTGAGATTCTTCGATCTATCAGCTCTCACACACTTAACCTAATGTGGGGAAAAAAAAAAACCTAATCTATCCTAACAAAAATTGCACCCACTATGCTTTAGTCCGCTTAGTCAATGACGCCATTGCGTTACACAAAGTTATGGTTATCTAAGTCTTGTTAGAATTGCTCGACATATTTACATGATGTTCATAACAACAAATTTACAATATTCATTGCAGTTTCCGTTTAGACAAATTTTTTTCTGCAGACTACATAGTATTAAAAATGTTAATCTAATTGTGAGGATGTGACATGAGTAGCTGATAGGTTTTTTTTTTGTATTTATATATATGTTTTTATATTTAGAACTATATATTCACATACGAGAAGAAGTGGTGAATAAAAAACTGAAGATATTTTATGCAATTATCGATCTTTCACCATCTGTGTATAGTGACGTAAAAATAGTGATGCGTGTTTCCATAATTAAACTAGCGCCTAATTCAAACTAGTACTTTCTAACTTCTGCAAGCTTATGCCAACGTCGAACTATTTATGAAAAACTAGGTTATAAAAAAGATAGAACTCAGAGTTTTTGCTATAGATGGCGGTTCTAACGCTTCTATGGCGCTTCTGTTACTAGCGTGTCATAGATTTAGCGTTCTCACGCCACGCTTTCCAGCTAGTACAACTTGTAATATAATACTTATTTAATTAAACACTAACGATAAAACACTAGAACAGAAAAGACACTATTAAGAGCTTTGCAACGTTCGAGCGATAATGCGCAATCGATGATAGGCGGATATAAAATAAAAGGAGTACAATATAGATAAACGCTTTTTTAAAAAAATTACTAGATTTCGCCAACGCACGCACACTTGATCTATGGAGAATCGTGGTGACAACTCCTTTAGGTACATACGTGATTGTGTTAAACCAGCTGTAGCCAGGAAGATTCCAATATGTAGCATCTCGTGCCCTTCAGTGGAATATTTTGTAGTGAGCTCCTCCAATCCTCCAAAATAATCATATGTTTAACCACTGGACAATGGCCCATATACCTGTTTCCGTATTTGATGCTTACAGGAAAATGGGAAGGGCCTAGACTCTTCCCTTTGTGAAGTTAGTAAAATTTGTAATAAGTGGGAGGGCACGAGGGTGCTGGCATCTAGAATCAATTCGGCGCGCAAATACGATTGTCGAGTTACAAACTTAGATTTTTTTCCTGCACATGCGGTACTGCTAATTCGTCATCGGATTGATCTGGCATCATAGCGTGTGCCATTATGCTTTCGGCGTTGGGCCAAGTCTGTGAACAAATTTTGGCTGTCAAAGTTGGCGCAATGCGCGTAACACCGTGAAAATTGTCATAAGACGAAAATTTCTATAGGAGATATACAACTGACTTTTATCGTTATGCTTTAAATGTAGCTTTAACCCTTAGCTGGATCCATGGGGTCAATTTGACCCAGCTATTTTTCAATCGCGATTCTCGTACATTCAAGATTTAAAAATCAGACTTATGGCGCTATCTGTCGATAGAGCATCTCGCTCTACAGAAGGTTTTATCTTAAAAAATATGTATTAAGATATAACCAAAAAAAATTTCAAGCCAAAATATTAAAAACAGTTGATTTTATAACTAAATTTTCTTTGGGGTCTTCAATGACCCCACTCGTCAGCTATGTTATCACAGACAAAGGATCGAGCTAAGGGTTAAAAAATAATATTTTCGGAGTTAGAGCATTCAGATTCGGACCGTCTGTTATTTTTTTGAACTGATGGTTCCCATGATTATGGCTTTTGTATTGATCAGAAATACAAAAACAAAATATTTTTATAATCATGAAAGTTGCGGTTATCGCCCAAACTAAAATCGTTTAAATAAAACAAAATAAAAAATGGTGATTTGAAAAAATTATATTTTTGATTAACTTTTCAAACTTTAGTTTGCCAAAAAATAAAAAAACTACTAACCGGACATCAGTGTGTCTTCATTTTAAATATGAAATTTTTTATGTTCTAGACGAAATTTGGTGTTGAAACTAGATAGAACTAATAAATCTGACAAAAAAAAAAGCGATGTTCGCGATTGAAAGTAGGTCTACATAAAATCCGCCATAATGACTTCGCTATTTCAACTAGAAATTTTGTTTTGAATTTAAGGAAGAACATTTTTAAATCGACAGATGTTTCAGTATTTTATCACAAAGATTTTTTAAGACATAAATATATTCTATAGACTTCAAGGTATTACTACGGTAAACTCAAAACCGCGTAATCGAGCTGAAATTTGTTTTACGTCTAATTTGTATAGCAGTACATCTCTCTACAAATTTTTAACACGATTCACTCATCCATTTCTGAGTATTTCCGAGTTAAAGTCAGGACTCTTAACACTTATTCCCTATACCTGGCCAATAAAACGCGCATGGTTTTTTTTATTGCATTTGACTCGTCCGCGTAATTCCGAAGAAAAACTAGTATGTGGCAAAGGAAAAAATTAGGAATTTTTTACATTTTTAGTCAGAACTTTTTACTCATAGGATTTATTGATAGACATGAAAGAAGTCGATATTTATTACGAAATCTCTCGTACGACGGCTGACAAAAGAGCGTCGGTGTATACATATACGTATACACTACTACATCCACTGTGAGACCGTGCCCGATGCATATACCTTTTCGGTCCGTAGTAATACTTTAATAGACTAAAATATTTCATGACCAAGATTTGCCTCTTTTTCCGACACTTCGGGAAAAGTCTTAAGGACGTTGTTCGGTAAAATGAAAGATCCAACAGAGGATTGAAACTTTCACCAAATATTCTTCGAATTATTAAAAACATACTTCTCCTCAGGCAAAAATCGTTTTGCCGTTCGGAATTGGTAAAAAATGTCATTGAAATTGATGATTTTAACACGCAAAGCATAGACGCATGGCCTATATTAATTTTTTGACATCGATGGAGGTTCTAACACATGCATGAAACTTTGCTAATAGTTAAAAGACTCTAAAAGACATATTCTCAAAAAAAAATGAAATTTTTTTACCGTCTCAATCCATGTTCATTTTGACGAAAACACTCGCGACGTGGCAACAGCGTAGCTGGGTCGGCGGAGGGGACAGCGCGTACTTTGTACATATACATATGCATGAATTTAAATCTGACGTTTTATTCAGCACTGTACATTATAGAATATTAAATATTGTTACCGTATAATATTATCGTATTAAATAGTTTAACAATTAATGAAACTTAACGACCAACGAAACTTAAAAACGATTATCTTGTAATAATATATCTTGTTATTCTTCGATTATCTTGTTTCATATATAAATATTTAAATATATAATATTATATATTTAATATTTTTTAATTTATTTATATTATGTAATCATTGGCGTCATTGTAATCATTGTGATCTAATAGCATACTTTTCCCGATATAAATATGACTGTTTGGCCGCTGAACGTAATGGGGCAGTCCGATGTTGCCAGCTCGTTTACCGTATTAGTGTGTGCTTGTCGGTGCACATCATTTGTGCGTGTGCGTAGACCAATCCGAAACAAAAGTTTGTACCATTCGTCCTAGTACGCGCATTCATGCTAGCGGTACGGTATAACTTTTTGGTGAGATTTTCACCGAACAACGTCCTTAAATGGCAAAGATCTTTGCCATCGGCACTCAAGGGGTTAAAGTTCAAATCTTTAGAGCTTTTACATTATTATAAAAATAACAGAAAATACATGTCTTGTCATTCAATTTTGAACAATACACAAATATGATGTATTTACAATCAATTAATTTTTAAATTGTGTATTCTTAGTTTGAGTCTCAGTGCAAGACGCGTCCAGCTCCCGCTCCTCAACAGAGTCAGAGTCAACGACCACATAATCCACATCAGCATCAACCGCCAATGCCACCTCATCAGCAACATCCTCAACATCCCCAGCATCCTCAGCATCCACAGCAAAATCATGGTCCTAGGATGATGATGGGTCCTCCACAAGGTGTAAGACCACAGAGAATGCCGCCACCAGGCATGGGGCCTCCTGGCCCGGGTGGACCTGGTCAACAAGGACCACCGTGTCGGATACATGGGCCGCCAATGGGGCCTGGGCCAGGGCCCCATCATCCGCTATCAGGTCATCCAAATCAAGGACCTCCACCACCTGGGTATCAACAAGGACCATGGAATGGTCCTAGGCCTAATGGCCCTCCAGGTCCTCCTCGTGGTCCAAGTGGCCCTGGTGGACCACCCCAACAAGGTCTACCAGGTCCTGGTCCAGGACAACATCGTCCGCCAGGAATGGTATGCATTTTAAACGATAAGCCACTTATATTTACAATATGAATTTATAATATCCCAGTGCTTCACTGTTTGGGGTTGATAATCCATTATATAGCGATAAAAATATAAATAGACAAAGTATATTAATACCTCAATTTTCAACATCCTTATTATATTAAGAACGAATTAGGCTCATTAGATTAAAAAATGTGTTTCAATGTTGAGGAATTTATATTAAAAAGCTCCTATGTATGTGCATCTAAGCGTGTGTGTGACTTATATATAACACGGACAATGTTAATTCGCTATTAATCGCACGCAATGCAGTGATGTAAATGCTCGCGTGCGAATATTTGTCTCAGACATAGGAGTTGATTAACTTACGGGAAATTAATTTTTTAAATCTCACAATCAAATATTATTTATATTAATCAAAGGGAAAACATATTTCTCACAAATACATTTTTATCTGTCTAAACTTTATAGAAATATTGACTATTTCAATTAGGTTTCTGCACAAGCTATTATAATATCAAAAGAATTACAAATTTTCATAGCGAATAAAATAAACGAATTATTCATGTTAATTATTTCTTCAACTTTTAGAGAACCGACTGGAACCATTTCGGGTTCCGTAAGAAGCCAAAGATTGTACGCAACATGTGCTGTTTATATACCTATAACTTTCAACATAAAAATGTCCACTATTTTTTGAGCAAATAGTCTTTCGGCCCTCTAAAGGTTAAATATATGTAGTTATGATGACTGTTAGTAATAATTAACATTTTTTTGTTTATTTTAAGCAATTTCATGGTGGACCACCAGGAGGCCCCCCTGGACAAGGTCCACCACGTGGACCACCTGGACATCCAGGCGGACCTCCAGGAGATCCACGGGGAGCACCTCCTCGACCCGAATGGAATAGACCTCCAGGTTATTACATTTCTGTTAATATTTTTTAAGTATAATGATGCAACTGTTTTTATTATATGTAAGATAAGTGTAAAGGAAAATATGCGATGCATGTATTTTCGATCATACAATTAGATTATTTTAAGATGAAATAAAATCAGTAGATTAATGTATTATATGTCAATGAAAATATTATGCGTACATATTTATATGGATTTTAGTACTGGCATTTACGCATTTTTCTTGTCAAGTTATTATATTTACACTAGTACACAGTATTAGTTCCATTGATGTTTAAACAATAGTTTCGATAGGCACTCAGAGTTATTCGCAATTGCATTGGAAATGGTATATCGAATCACTACTTCTGCATACACATGTCGGTGATGTGGTTTCGGTCAGTACTTTTAAATAATAGTTGTTTGACATATGTTGTATCCCAAAATCATTGTTGAAACCTATTAGGAACTGTAGAACTTTTCGGGAACTATATGGAAATAGTACATTATGATACACGTGCGGAAAGTTGATGATTCCTGACGAGTGAGACGTTTGCCGGCCTCGCTTCGCTCGGCCGGCAATTCCTACAGTCTTCGGAAATTCCTAGGCTCTCTAGCGCTCCCTAGTGGCTCTGTGGGTATGTTAAATATAGCAGGGGCGAGCTGGGCACCCTGTTATAATATGGCAAGTACCGGTTTTTGGGGTTACTAATTACGAATTCGGGGCTAAATTTTGAAATTCAAAATGGCGGATCCAATATGGCGGACCAAAATGCAAAAAATAGCTTCATGTAGATGAAACCTGGTACTCAGAATTTTTTGTATTGCTGATTACGAATCTGGGATGAAAATTATTTTAGAAATTGAAACTACTTTCTGCATTTCCGGCCGCCATTTTAAATTTCTGAATCTTGATTCCAGATTCGTAATCAACGACCCTAAAATTTTAAAAGTTCCAAAGCCTTAAATAGTACTTTGCAATACAAGTGCGAAAAAGCGAACATTATAGGCAGACGGTCAAGTTGATCGTACAAGCCGAAGGCGAGTGCTGCTTGTAGTACGAGTGCGGCAAGTGTGACGAACTTCACGACCTGCGTATAATGTTCGTTCTACTGCACCAGTATCGCATATTTTATGTAACTCATGCATGAAAAGCGCTACTTTTCGTGCCTCCAAAGTGAATGCGTGTCATGTCAGCGCGCGAGAGCAAAGCACTAGTGCGAGAAGTAAAATTGGGCCGATTTGTGTAGCATTTTTATCGCATCCTTAGTTATAAAGTGTCACTTACGCCACTTTGGAAGCTCAAGAAGATCATTTTTCATGCATGAGTTACATAAAAAATATTTCTAACAGGATCGTGGGAAACACATTTTTTTCTAAAAAAATCATTCATTTTGACAGTTTGTTTATTTGTAACTCTTTGGTAATTAACGATATATTCTTGTTAACATTTTTTGATCCTCATTTATGTTTTGGATGGGAACCTTATCAGTTCAAAAAGTCTCCGGCTATTGTAGTAAAATAAATTTTTTTTATATATAAAACCACAAATAATTTTTTTTTAATTAAAAAGGACCCATCATGCTTTATAAGGTTAATTCATTAACCAGCGAAACTATTTCTGAAAACTATCACGAACTATAAAAGTTATCCGGCTGATACTAGAACTCATTTTTTTCATCTTTACACAGTATGGTTCCAACTTCATAGCCAATAATTATTATTGTAAATTAGCCGGTTGAATTTATATATTTCTTGCTTTTTTTCCAGGTGCTGACTACTTCGTAGCCAGGATAAAGAAAAATTAACGAATTTGAGTAGAACGTTTCGATCCGAAGTTTGGGTCCTCTTCAGGTGAGTTTATTTAATTTTCTGTATGTAACAAAAACATGTGATATATATAGAGCACTAAACAACATGTTACATTTAGAAAATTAAATAAACTCTCTAGAAGAGGATCCAAATCTCGGGTAGAAACGTTATAATCAAATTCTTTGATTTTTCTTTATCCTCGTTGTGAAATAATCAGCATCTGGGAAAAAAACAAGAATTCATAGCCAATGTCTCCTTGATATAGTATCTCCTGGTTGAACGCTCAATTCTGGTTTAGCACAAGTACATTGTATTATGTATTCACACATATTTTTAATATCACTCATTGGAATATTATTGATATGTCTAGGGATGCATCATGGACCGCAAGGACCACCAGGTTTCCCTCAACATCAACATATGCAAGGTCCACAACCTGGTCAAGGACCTCCGCAGAGAGGACCTCCACCTGGATCTATGGGCGGTAAGAAATAAGAATGCTATTTACATACGTTTTCACTATCTAAAGTCACTTGGAATAAATACTTTTTACTCGAAGATTGACCACAGTTCCTCTATAAGACATAATAATTGACTTCATATTAAATTCTACAATTATCTTACGTTTCATTTTCCTAATTTAAAATACACATTATACAGTCACGTCCAATTGAAGTGCAACACTTGAATTTTTTTACATATCTGTGAAAGTATGACAGATTTCAAAAAACCAAAGACGTATTTTTTAGGAAAATTCCTTCCCGTTCGAATGGTAAAGGCTTTGTCCCGATCGGATACAAAATGGCCGAATGGCAGGGGTTGGAGTAAAAAAGTGCATTTTGGAACTTTTTGAAAAATTCGAGATCTAGTAGTTCCGAAAGGAAATTCATATTTCTAATTAGGGCACGAGAGAGAGCATCCTTCGGCATTAAAAAAACTTCCCCCATTGAACCCGTATATTTTTTAGGAAATTTCCTTCCCGTTCGAATGGTAAAGGTTTTGTCCCGATTGGATACAAAATGGCTGCATGGCAGGGGTTGGAGTGAAAAAGTGCATTTTGGAACTTTTTGAAAAATTCGAGATCTAGTAGTTCCGAAAGGAAATTTATATTTCTAATTAGGGCACGACAGAGAGCATCCTTCGGCATTAAAAAAAAAAACGCCATTGAACCCCTGTAGGATCACTCTAGGGGGAGTTACACCCCCTTGAAGTGAAAACACTTAAATGGCCATAACTTCCGAACGCGCCGGCCAATCTGGTCCAGTTTCTGCATGATATTATCTTTAATAATAGTGCAGATTCTCACAAAATTATTGTTCTCGGAGATGATTCCGTGACGGAGATTTTTCATTAGGAAAGCGATGAAATAGAAGTTTCATTTTTATCCACGTAGTAGTTGAGATTTCAACGATTAAAACGCGCTTTTAAACATCCAAATACGAGTACGCTAAGGGGTTTAATGATCCGTTTGAAAAAACGCGTAAATTTTGCGAGTTTCGCTCGAGGCGCTCGGGGGACTACTACCCTACCACGCGCGCCAAGCATTTGTCCCTCGAGCGTCTCGAGCGGAACTCGCAAAATTTACGCGTTTTTTCAAACGGATCATTAAACCCCTTAGCGTACTCGTATTTGGATGTTTAAAAGCGCGTTTTAATCGTTGAAATCTCAACTACTACGTGGATAAAAATGAAACTTCTATTTCATCGCTTTCCTAATGAAAAGGGGGACTACTACCCTACCACGTGCGCCAAGCAATTGTCCCCCGAGCTCCTCGAGCGAAAGTCACAAAATTCCGTCACGGGATCATCTCCGAGAACAATAATTTTGTGAGAATCTGCAGTATCATTAAAGATGATATCATGCAGAAACTGGACCAGATTGGCCGGCGCGTTCGGAAGTTATGGCCATTTAAGTGTTTTCACTTCAAGGGGGTGTAACTCCCCCTAGAGTGATCCTACAGGGGTTCAATGGCGTTTTTTTTTTTAATGCCGAAGGATGCTCTCTGTCGTGCCCTAATTAGAAATATAAATTTCCTTTCGGAACTACTAGATCTCGAATTTTTCAAAAAGTTCCAAAATGCACTTTTTCACTCCAACCCCTGCCATGCAGCCATTTTGTATCCAATCGGGACAAAACCTTTACCATTCGAACGGGAAGGAAATTTCCTAAAAAATGTGTCTTAGGTTTTTCGAAATCTGTTATACTTTCACAGATATGTAAAAAAATTCAAGTGTTGCACTTCAATTGAACGTTACTGTATACTATCTGAGTTTATGTTAGTATATGCTCTTTGCTAACTCAACAATGCATTAGGAATGTTACCAGGTCCTGGAGGACCACCACCAGGTCATGGTGGTCCACCACAAGGACCTCCGCAAGGACCTCCGGGTGGTCCAGCACCACATGTGAACCCAGCATTCTTTTCTCAAGGCCCTCCTCATCAGCATCCTGGTCAGCATCCAGGTGGCCCTCCAGGACCACCCGGCCCACCTCATGGTCCACCTCATGGCCCTCCACATGGTCCACCCCATGGACCACCCCACGGACCGCCACACGGTCAACCACATGGGCCACCACATGTACCTTCTCATGGATATGGACCACCCACAGCACAGGTATATTTAACTGTAGGAATTGGAACATTTTACGGTCATTTCAATAAATATTCCACACATTACCCGTTAAATATTTATCGAGTGTCTCAAATTCTAGTTCACAACTGATTACTGAATTTTCAGTTTTGAAATTGTTCTCTAAACGAAGTGATGTGTGGAAAAGCACATACCTCCGATTTTATTGGAACTATGTATACCTACGTATTTTGATGTGCTGGTTACGAATATGACTCTGAAAATTGGTGCTAATGACATTTTGACGGTTAAAACACGAATTCGTATTATCTTGGAAACTATTGAACTGACCAAAGAAAGTTTCCAACAAATTTTGACGGAATAATGATCTTGACAGTAGTTTAGATAAATAAAAATTGTCGGCGAACGACGCACGCGTAGAAAGATAGACCACGCACAGACCAATAAATGACTGAGGTTGATTGAGTAAGATTTGGCTAGGCTAGATTAGATTAGGTTAAGTCAAGTAAGATTAGTTACTAGTAGTTTCCATGAATAATATTCATCGCATTGTTCAATGTTGTGATAGGTTTGTAATTGACTAGGCTTCTGTTAGTTTAGGTTAGATTGTGATCCGATAGCACCGCTGCTATGTCTTTGTTATTAGTGATTCAGATTTTTATTTAAAATGTAATATTTCCACAGTAAAATTGCTTTGAATAAAAAATCTGTATTTTTTAAACTCTATAATTTTTGTCGGACACTTTTTTCGCTCAATCAAATAATTTTCAAGATAATATTGTAAAATTGTTTTAATAAATGGTTTTTTCGTGTTTAGATTTAAAAGATAGCATTTGCGCCAATCTTCATCGCTATATTTGTAGCCAGCGCATCAAAATACGTAACTATACATAGTTCCAATAAAATCAGAGGTACGGGCTTTTCGGAACTCCATCTCAAATTTACATTGCTGTATGTGTGCAAGATTCAAACCATTGTACTGGAGTGTTAATTGAAGTCTTTGATAAATATAAAAAAAAAATGTATTTCATAGCAACTTGAAAATTGCCGTACTGTATTCAGAAGTCACGTAATACTACAATTCTGCTTAAATTTTGCTTTAGAAGACAGTGCATAAAGCAAATTTACACATTTGCTACAAGTACTTAAGCCATACATTTATAACGATACTTTCCGAAAAGAAGAAATGAGATGCGTGATTTTGAAGCATATCTGAGTTTTGCGTTTAGCAATTAAGAGTGAGGGGAGGGGATACATATGTTTGAGTAGCAGAAAATTATGCAATTTTTACAGGTTTTGTTTTTTTGGCGAATCTATAAATTTTTGTGAAAAAAGCTTCTGCATATGAAAGCACATATGTACTAAAATTCTTTCAGAAAAATTTTCATTGCTTAGAAATTACAAAATGGCAGGGTAATGGCGGATAGTATCAGGTAGACTTTCAAAGAAGTACTTTTGCGGTAATTATAATCTTGACCGAATTGAACTGAAAGTAAAATAAATGAAAGGAATTCTTGAAGTGTTTTAGTACAATACATCTAATGTGTCTTAGAGTCAAATTTCAGAAATATATCTTCTAAAGATAAGGCTGATTATCCGAAATCAATTATGTGTGTTGAATAAAAAAGTCGCCAGTTTTTTTCGATTAAAAAAATGTACATACGTAAGAAAAACCGGCTCCTTAGGTAGACTAGGTTGTTTAATGTAGGATAAGCAGACAAAAATTTGATGATAATTGGTTTCAGTTATTTTCGAGTATTTATAGTATTTTTAGAAAATGCAAAGAAAAAGGTTGATTTCTTGGAGTTTTGCACACATATGAACTTCATTGAGGCCTTTCGTGTCACGCCAAATTTTCTTGGCATTATGTAAGATATAGATCAATGAGAGCAAGTTGTTATACACAAAGTTGTGGACACACTCCCAGTGGTCCAGACATTACGTTATATATTTACTTAAATATTGAATGCAGCAGCGTCACAAATATTGGAAAATTTTACTAATATTGGTGTCTCACCTATGATGAAAGATGATAGATTTTTTCGCGACCCGCTTAATGCGGAAGGAAAGAATAGTATGCAAAACCTGGTGGAGAACACCAGTATTAAACAAGATGTTTGGCTGGAACATAAAAAGTAGAATGCAAATCACGCTAAGTATCTGAACAAAGGAAAAAAAAAAAACAAGAGGAAATCAGTGCTAATATGTTCGAATAGTGCTGTCTTTTATAACGAAACTTTTTCCATTACGTTGTAAAGTATAGTGAGATGGAAAGTGACCATCATTTAAGAAAAAATAAATTTACAAATTAGAGTTTTCATACGAGCCTTAAACGACCGTGACCGTGTAGAATCTGCAACTATCGTCCGAGAGGCTGTCGTTGCTTTTACAAACTTGCTAATAGTGTCTAATTATAATGTCAGCGTGTTTGAATGAAAACTTGCGGTTTGGACAGCCATCTTTGTTAGCACATTTCTAGCGTTATTCAGCGTATCATAATAATTTACTTTCCCAGTTATAAGAAATGTCCAACTTTACAGTTTCATAAAATTGTTTCCATAGAAATAATTTATTATAATCATTTTATGAAGACAAGCTAGACCTTCAAGAGCAAGAGTTTTGTTCGAAATTTGTACATCATATTTACCGAACATTAAATGCAACATACTGGAATACAAAATTCTACTGCTATGCATGCACTGACTACTGTAGATAATTGAAAACGCATCTCAATGACGAATACATCTATTTTCTTTAATGGAAAAACAGTTAACATTTTGTATACACGTCGCTGATGATTAATTTTATGTCATTCTTTTTATACAGAGTTGATGTAATTATTCTATTTCTAAATATTGTAAATCGGACGGATATTGAGTGCTGCTGTATACTTGACGGCCTATTATCATTCGAAAAGAAAATGGTAACGAAAAATGAAATATTAGCATAACAATACGAAAATTTGTTTTAGCCTCCTTATGGTGGACCTGGTCCTGAACATCGTCCAGAAGGACCACCACCCTTAACGGAGCAAGAGTTTGAAGAAATAATGGGTCGTAACCGTACCGTATCGTCATCTGCCATCGCACGTGCGGTGTCGGATGCTGCAGCCGGAGAATATGCAAGTGCTATAGAAACATTGGTCACTGCTATTTCATTGATAAAACAATCCAAAGTGGCGGCAGATGATCGATGTAAGATTTTGATTAGTTCACTTCAAGATACATTACGTGGTGTGGAAACTAAGAGTTATGGATCAGCGCGAAGAGGTAAGGCATTATTTATAGGATTTATCGAAAAATATTCTATGACGTATAGTAGTTTTTTTTTTCAATTTCAAACTTATATTTCGTTATGCTATCTTTAACAAGGAACCACCCTATAGTCTTTATGCTGGGTATGATTTGGTATGAATTTCAAAAGTAGCTTCAATCTCTAAGTTGTTTTCACTGAAATCAGTCGCGTAAAGTAAGAATTTTTTTATTTCCAGCACGAAAAAAAAACTAGTTAATTGTTATAAGCATTTGTTTAAAGGGGGGTCATGTACATTTCACCATATTCATTTTCTAGTATGCACGCTTCCTCGTCTACGGTTTTTCTTTATGGAACTTAACTTTTTATAGATTACCTAAAATTCTAATTTATCGTAACCAGACAGACCTTGTCGAAGTCTATGGTGTCGTAATAAGCTGGACTTGCTCATTTTGCTCGCTTGTAGACAAGGAAACTACCCTAATCCTAACACGAGACGGAAAGCTGGCTTTCCAACTGTTCGTATACTTAAGGAACTCCGGACCTCTTATTTACCCCGTGAGTAATATTTCCAACCAAACTCGTAAATAACAGAATTTTGACAAAAATTCTTCCCCAAAGCGGATTTCAATGTAGATTTTGCAAGCTTAATAATCATTTTGACACCACTTTCGTTGTAATGAAATAAAAACTGAAAGAGTAATTCGAGCCGAAATTTTTCGCATTTTTCAAATTCACATACCAATTTTCGGGTCGACTCACTCTTTTAGTTGTGTGTTGATTATTATGAATGCTATGGGAAAAAATCTCCTTAAAAAACCTGTTATTAACGTTTTTTGTTGACATTTTACTTACATGGTAAAAAGAGGTCCGAAATTCCTTTAATTTAATTATTAGTCATTCAAATCAATTTTTTACGTCAAAAATATACTTCAGAATACAGATAATAAAATTTCATCGGTTCAATTATATTATCATTACTACGTTATCGCTCAATAATTTTTAGTTATACATATTGTTTACATAACGTTAAATAGCAACCACTAGTTATTATTTCACAATTAGCTATTATGAATCGTCTTTATTATTAAATTTATTAACTCTGTGAAAGAGTCTAATGCCACAATATAACTACAACTTTTAAAATTTATAGTTTAAAAACCGTTAGTTGCATGAATAAAAATAAATGAATATTTGTTTTATAAAATAAGCAAACGTTCTGAGGAAATATATCGTCCCCAAAAAATTAATTTTTAACATATTGTTTAAACAAACTTTTATAACTAATTTGAGGTGATCTTCAAATTCATATAGAGCAATACCTAGTCGGAAGAGTATTGGAAACTAACTAAAAGTTATAGTTATGATTTCTGGTGAAGTTTCCACTTTGTTCATTGTATCAATAAAGTTTATCGTCAGTATTATCACTTGAGTGTGACATTTTTAATAGCAGTTCAAATAAAGGTTGTTATTAATGCATTTTACTGAATTCTAGAACGGTCGCGTTCACGTGACAGGGAGCGCAGTCATAGAAGACGTCGTGAAAGATCTAGAAGCCGTGAAAGGGAGTACCGAGAGCGCAGCCGAGATAGAGAGAGAGAAAGGGACAGGGATCGTGATCGCGAAAGAGAAAGAGAACGTGATCGTGACAGGGAACGTTATTACAGTGAACCTTATCCGCGAGAAAGATCGCGTAGCAGAGAAAGAGAACGCGAGCGAGAGCGAGATCGTGAATACCGGGAAAGAAGTCGAGAAGAAAGGTAAGCTAAAATAATTACTCACACATATGATATTTTTATGTTTTATACGTTTGAAGTGACAGTTTTTATGCTGGAAATATGTGATCAATATATAGCAAATTGCATGCTATCGAACAGTTACTCTGTCATCGCACATAGTTCGCCTTTGAGTGCTGTTACAGGGTCTAAGCACAATAACATTTTAAACGTTTTGTATTATCTGATTATATATGTGATTATATATGTAAATATCCATGACTTCTGTATTTAAAAAAAAAATTTTTAATACATTATTTGCCAAGAAATTGTATAAGATGCAACTATTAGAGAATTCATTGTAATTAGATGTTTTAAAATGTGCTTCCAATAACACAAGCAAAGATCAATATCTCGATATGTATTATCGGTGCCATAAATGCTACAATATGGGGTAGTGTGCTTAATTTCATAATGAATAGAGTTATATTCAATCACTTACACAAAATTATTCATGCCAAACGTATCAAGTGAAGATAGCCTGTCATTTAATTTCTATGACAAAATTATGTATTTGTATCAAACAGCCCGTATATTTTTTGGCCTTTAATCTATGGATATTTAATTGAAATTCATAGTGCTGTCCGGCTTAATCGGATGTTATTAGCGTACCCCATAAAAATAACTTTGAATTGAAATTAATAGGAATCATTTTCATTTCCATTAGTAAATATATGTAGGATTTAAACAGAAATTTCTTATGCACGATTTTGATTCATTCTAATTAAGTAATAGTTAATGTTTTGCCATATATTCTTGAATGCCTATCGTATTTGCATCTTGCACGTGCTGTACTTATGTGCATGAAATTATTGCAATTCTTACCTCCCATAATCTATTTTTAAATCATTTAAATGGATTATCAATATTTTAATATTGAACTATTTGTACGACTGCTTTAAGTACAGCATCCATTTGATTACAAGATAATAATCATTATTAATCATTAGATAAAAAATCTGGGTCATTTTTATCCGAGCCAATTTGAATTGTTGTAATACGTTGAGATTAGCTACCACTTTGTAATCGACCCCATCATATAAAAAATTAAGGGTAACGAACACCCTACGCAAATAGTAGTATCCCTAAATCCATTACTACTTGAGATTGGACCTTCTGAAATCACAAATGAGAAAAATTGATCCACGTTTACTGTCAACGTCAACTTTTTACCATAGGTTTCGAATCTAAATGTTGTGCGTAAACATGTTTCTCAAATGATTTTAGTGTTTTTTTAATCAATATCAATGATAAAAGTGATTCTTTTCTGTATTTTTTTATACAATGATTTTTTATTAAAATTGAAAAAGTTATATGTCGGTATCCTTAAAAATTTTTTATTTTTCATGATGCAAAGCGTTGTAGTAAAATGTTCAAATATACTATGTGACTTTTTACACATTTTTTGTATCACGTTGAGTTACTGAAACACGCATCGGAGAAAACTGATCTAGGTTAACGGTCTAAAGGTACCAAAAATACAATAACCGAGTAACGATTAAGTTTTTCGTATTAGTCATGTCAGTCATAAGTGCATAGAATTTTTCATTTGGTTACCTGTAATTAGACATTACCGAATGTTGCCTTTAACACTAGATTTACGGAAGCCGTCACTTTGACGGATTTCAAATTTCATGTTAAACCCTAAAATTCCACATTAGAGTGAATTGTAAACTCGCATCGGCTTGTGTGGAATTTAAAGGTGCATGACAAAGGTATGCAATTCGAAAATTAAAGTTACAGAAATTATACATAAGTATTATTTTTTAGCAATTTTTGTTAACGCTGATAATCAACGGTCGTAAATCTAGTGTTAAACAGGTATCTCTATTAGTGTTGTAAACAACTAAGAGGGTTGTATGCTAACGGCGTTATGTTAGGAAATATTGTGATTTACACAATGAAATTTAGGGAATGCTTCATTTTAAGTTTAGTCGCATTAGAAACGTCCAGAAATAATATTCATAAATTTTATCTGTAATAAAAGCGGCAACTAATCATCGTTTAGTGGGAAAAATACTCGGATTCGTAAAACAGAATTTCAAAATAATACGGAATTACATGCTAGCACACATCATCAGAAAGAGTGAAATCATTCGAACTTAAGTTACAGCTGGTACTTTTTTGCACTGTATGTACCTACTCAATTTTAAATTTAACAATCGCCTCATGGCCAACAGACGTTTTACTGCGCGGGTTATGAGGTTTTGTAAAACTTTTAGTTTATGAGTATTTGATTAGAAATCAACATAGTCTCGAGTATTATGCTAGAGGTGTATGCACTAAGGGATACGAATTCTTAAGCCCGTATTCACAACTCGCTCTTAAAGTCACTAACAGAGTCGCTTGTAGTTAAAAGTCACTAAGAAAAAATGTAAAAGTGTGCTATTAGTCCTAAAAGCAAGTTTTGAATACGGGCTTTAATGTTTAAGTTGAAAACCTTGGAACTTATATTAACGTATATTTATTGTAATCTCTAACCGGTAGCCTGGCAAATGCAAAGTAGTAGTTACATATTAGCAATGTTAGAATTTTCTACTCAACGGTAGAGTAGTTGTAAAATAAGTCTTGTCCAATGAGCGCTGACGATGCCTAAGGGTGTGCACCATTCTTAAGGACCGATTGTCCTGTATCTCCACTCTAGGGTATCGTTGACGCTCCCTGTATTGAATTATTATATCTCTGACAAGAAAGGTACCTCAGGTATCGTCCTCCGATTTCGTTCGTTTTGAAATATATTGTTCTCCATCAAAATCTAAGAGATAAGTGTTTTTTTGTATGGCCGATAAATGATTTTAGGCGATGAAATCAACCCTCAAAGTTGAGCTCCTCGAGGGCGGTTTTCGCAGTTTCACATACTTCTAGTCGAGATATTTTAATGGGAATAATCGGAGAATAATCCTCATGGTGAATAATGAAAAATACATTTTGGCCGGTTCTGGTGGGGTGAATGCCTAAAAATTTATAGGAGTTGAAAAGTGCGAAATTTTTATAACAAAAAAACTATCGATTCGATTCTGATGAAACCAATTGCATTTGAAAGTACTAAAAAAAAAGTAGAAGATACGTGTTTTTGTGTTTTTCGAAAAAAAAACGTCATTTAACGGGTGAACCACCCCTATACCGGTGCAATCAATTTCTCATTAAAGCGGCACTATCTTGCTTCAATTTATCTTTCCAATTATTAGAAAGCTCTTTTTATGTATTAATTAAGAAGTCCAGTCGTTTCAATAACGTTAGGTTGTATGCTCACTAAAACTACCTCTTCGTTTCCTGACGCCATTCTGGCAGGATTCCTCGTACGCTCGCGAGATCTTCAGAACTCTTGTATCCCAAGGGTTTTGGAGGTCATTGAAACCGATTTTGGACTTTAAATTATGAAATTCACAATGCTAGATACTGTCAAAGTGTAATTACTCAATTGTTATGGCAGGGGGTAACTATCCTTGAACGCATTCTATTACGGTTTTATGGAAGTAATGTAATTGTTGCAAATTTGTTTTAATAAATTAATTCCTTTTAGTTAATTTGCTTATTTCGAAGATTTAAGAGTGAAACTACATATAAACAAAGTTTCACCAATACTAGAAACTGAAGTTATCATTTTTGCGTCGTAAGTTGATTTACTCACCACTGACACAAGTACGGTCTCATTATTCATTGTGACAATAGCTTCATATCAAAAAATTGCAGTAAGCGGATCAACTTAAGACGTAAAAATAATAACTTCAGTTTCTAGTATTGGTGATATTGTATTCTAGTACTGTGGGACACTTGATGAGGTACCTTCCTTGTGAGTAGAACACTGGCATTGCCGATGTGTAACTCGTACTTTGTATTTGCTGGGTACAACTCTAACGAATTACCTTTGACAAGAACCATACATTTTTAATAGTGACATGAGGAACCTCGAACGATTCAATATAATGCATGCAGGTCATACGAATAAACGAGGTAAAACCACTAGCAATTTTGCGCATTTAGATAGGGACGTCGCCGGATCCTTTCTACTCTGATTGGCTGACTTTTAGTATGTGTTATGGCCACGTCGTGAGATCCGCTCCATTTTGAGGTGCCATCTCATAACCAACCAATACGTGAATATGTCCTTTCAAAGTGAAACTGATGTCGCTTTGAACGTGACGTCATTGGACTCTGCCTGATTTGGATCAAAATACAAGCGCTAGTGGCTGTACCTCATCTATTTGTGCAGGCGAGGTCCAGGCTATATCCAGACTGCAAGATAATTTTTGGACATCTTGTATATGCTGAAAATTTGTATAGAACAATACTGCAGCTACTTCGTAAAACTAATACTAGTAGATAATAAGAATGACATTGCAAATGACTGAAAAATAGGTGTGTAAATAAATGTTCTGCAGGGTTTTAATATCATAGTATCAGTTTCCAAGCAATTTGTATTTTACGAAATACTAAGTAGAGACATTTCGGACATATTAGATCCCATTATTACTCCTGTAAGTATAGCCCCGATGAGTCTCTTTTTCATGTATTTGTCGTGAGAATCTACTAAATCTTTTGACCGGATTTTATGTAAATTAGTTTGAATCCGCAATCTTGAATTGCTTTTCGTAACTAGAGAAAAAGAAACTTACGGAAAGAATTATTGATAAGAAAAATGAACCGTAATTGGGCTAAGGCTTTCAAACTTCATTTTCTGAAAGTATAATAGCAAAAGATATTACAAAAAATGCATATAGATGCAATCGTGAAAATAATAAAATACGAGAAGTGTTTATTTGTAGACTCATTATTATTCTTTCTTTTTTTCTTTTGCTGCAAATAATACAATAAAAACTTATTCTCTTGTTCCGTAGTGTAGCATGCATTCAGAAATTCCTCTATAAGTTTTACGTTTGTTTTATAAATATATATAATTAGGGGTATGCACGGAGCATGATTCAAAATTGGATTAAAAATTTTTTTGTTTAAAATTGTATAATATATCAAAAGTTACGTCCTATCGTATATCTGCACATCCATTACCACGTTTCTCGTGTTGATTTACAAATTTCAAGATGTGTATATAGTCATGGATAGTGAATTATCACAGTAGTATTTATAAACATTGCTTCTTTAATGAGTGTAATGGTGGTATTGCTATTTATCCATTAATATTCGACTATTTATGAAATCATACGAATGGATTTCTTACCTTTTATTAAAATACTTTATAAATTGGAAATTTTGTATGCTTTGCATGTCTGGGCTTAATTGACGAAAAAAATATATTTTCACTTGCAATGAATATAATTTTAACGTAAACAAACTTCCGTTCATGTTTATCGTATAGTATTGTGTATATTGATTAGAGTATGGATAATTTATGCTAAACAGCGCTAGATAAAAAGTAGATTGGTACCCTTAAGTAATTAATGTCTATTCAATGCACAAATTACGTAAAATAAATTAGAAAAAAAAGTGAAGGTTGAATATGCTTGGCTTTAATTTTGTGTATGCTTACTTTGGATAAGCTCTATGAGATGTGTTGATCTGCATATTATTGTTGCTTTAAAGATAAATGCTTATGGCTAATTCCCAAAGTAAAGCTTTTATATTAACATAACATAACATAAGGCATATTGATGAGAATGCAGATCATTAATCTTTAGAAAATTTACTAATTTTTCAAAAATAATCAGTTTCTGTCGTAAATATATGAATTCATTACGTACCAGTACAAATAATTAAAGGAATAGAGTAATTTGTTGCAATTTGGTATTAACTCGATTATTATCCAGAACATTCTTCGTGATCAGATAACAATCATACGGTGTAATAGCAACTACGCTCTACAATCAGTCCTACGAATTTTCAACTCGTTAGGACCGAGAACCTTGTTATTTTTAAAGTTCTCAGTTGTTCTCACTCTTCATTTAACCACTATGTTGATTTTTATCGTGCTTATCCAATTGTACTGAAGATTGAAGTTAGTTACGTGAGCCCTGAACTTGAACTGTCAAAATTCAAGAACAGCGTATTCGTCTGCGTACATAAACTATGATTCACCGAGTACAGTAAAATACTAATATTAGTTGAGTAAAACGTGTGTCAGTAACGAAACTGAAATTAGTAAAACGATTCGGTTGAAAATACATAGAATTACGACTGCGTTGAGATTGGTCTTCAATTATGTAATGCATTTCATAATTTGACATATGCTACTAATTCTATCTTCACGCGTATAATGCAGTTTAATAACAAACAAGGAGCAATACCTTTACCACTTATGATTGATTGAGTGTCACCTGTGAAACTTATTACTTTTTGCGTTATTGTCTTTGCAGTCTAAATTATTAGTCAGTTTTGCAACTGAAAATTTGTTCATTTATTAATAATTCCATACGAATTGCTGATGCTAATTCATAAATCTTATTCGCATATATTTTACTTAAAAAGAAAGTGAACTCCATATTTTACCAAAGATTCAAAACAATGCCTTCAAAAAATTTATGAGTAATTACAAACATTCAATATTTTCAATATATAAAAAAAATTCCGTTAGTAGAATTAAATAATACATATAATTTCAGTTAATAGCAGTATTTATTACTAAAATGTGAAAAAACGTTTAGATTTTTTATAGAATTAGGAATATATGTGTGCCATGCGGTAAATTTTATAAAAACATAAATATTGATACCAGTATTCCTTTCTGGTCATGTTATACGAACGAGTATTTATCACTTATTTTTAATGGCATTAGAATTAGTATTTATATTTTATTAAATCAAATAGAATATTGAAATTGGTAAGTGATAATACAATATAATAATTGTCAATTTTCTACTAGTACAACACGTCAATCAGCCAGGCCAAGAGTAAAAGAAGAACCGCCAGAAGCGACACCTGTCTCTTCTTCGAAGTCGTCTAGGTAACGAATTTTTAAATTAACTCAGATGGATCTTAGTAAAGACAATGTTTCTTTTATTTATACATACAACACAAAAATATTCCTAAATAATTGTTTAGAAGTAAGACAAATGTGACAATGTTACTAGTGTTCTAATGAAAATTTCCTAGTTATAAAAATAAAATTAGTCATGATGAAAATAGAAAGGGATAGAGAGAAGGAGAAAAAAAGGATGTAACGTAATCTCTCAATCGTGCTACGTTTTTCATTCGCAATGGCTATCTGGCAGTATTTTATATTATTTCTATCTATCTATCTATCTATCTATCTATCTATCTATCTATCTATCTATCTATCTATCTATCTATCTATCTATCTATCTATCTATCTATCTATCTATCTATCTATCTATCTATCTATCTATCTATCTATCTATCTATCTATCTATCTATCTATCTATCTATCTATCTATCTATCTATCTATCTATCTATCTATCTATCTATCTATCTATCTATCTATCTATCTATCTATCTATCTATCTATCTATCTATCTATCTATCTATCTATCTATCTATCTATCTATCTATCTATCTATCTATCTATCTATCTATCTATCTATCTATCTATCTATCTATCTATCTATCTATCTATCTATCTATCTATCTATCTATCTATCTATCTATCTATCTATCTATCTATCTATCTATCTCTCTTTCTCTTTCTCTTTCTCTCTTTCTTCCTTCCACACTTATGCTTTCTTTTCATAAAATAAAGTATTGTATCATGTCAAAAATGCCTCTTCATGTGAATGGTAGAGACGAGTGACAATAGAGTTAGAAATATTTGGGCAATCAAGTTTGCCTTGATGTGCAACCGCTTGAACCATGTGGTCGAATCTTATGCTTTCGCTGGTGCAAAAAAGAATTAATTTTACGGATATTTACAAATATTTAAATGTCATCTACATCTGGATATTTATTCCTCGACTAAATTTCAAGCCAATTTGCTCAGGGGTTTGTTCGGAAATTTGGATACAAACCTTGGCTACTGTACACATATACATCCTTTTTTTGCGATGGCGATTGCGTAGTATAATTCTACATGTTTCTTGCGGACGCGTCTAAAAAATTAAATCAATATCAATGTTTGTTTTTCTGTATCGTCCGGATTATGGTGGGTAATATACATGAGGTTTTAAAATTCCGCATTAATTTCATGTAACGATTTTGGTGTGCAATTAAGAAAAAGGAAAAGTTAGATATTGTTTTTTATCAATTACGGGTGAATTAAGATAATTAGGATTGTCGTATACTGCGTAGGTATTATGACGATCGCTACAGAGAGCGTGAACGGGACAGAGAGCGGGAGAGGGAATCAAGTCGTCGTCCATCAGAACGGGAAAGGGAACCTGAACGGGAACGAGAACGAGAGAGAGATCGCCGTGATGAAAGGGCAGATTCATCGCATCGGTCCAGACATTAAATTTGCCATTATGCTCCTTGTTATTCATAGACGGTGGTATAATACAAGCAACATAAGATATACGATAGAACTTACAAAAAATTCTTGAAGCAAAAATAATGCAATGTGACAAAAGAAGAACTGTCTTTGCTCTATTTAGAGGTAAAGTAGTGCGGTTGGCGTAAAGCAAGTAACTATCAGATATGGAATTAGGAATATTGATTTTAATCCTTTACATTGATATTAGATAATGCGACATTTCTTAAACATTTATTTCATACTTCTTGAGTGCACGTTAATATTCCATAGTTGCGTTTGCGCAATTTAAATGTTTCATTTTTTTTCCATCTACCGCATACATATTATGTAATAATAATGTTCATGTATACGTACATGCATATGTAACGACATTCTAAATAAGCTACTCATTTAGGATTACAGAATATTCATTTAGTCAACTACCGAATTAGGTATTGTGCGGTGAATATACAAGATACAGTGTTCTTGTAATATGTCATAACGACTTTCGATTTACGGTATGTGGTCAATAAAAATTTCGAGATGCAGTGAAGATTTGCAAAAAGGACACATACACGCGACTAATGAAAGTAATAAACTCATCTTCGGAAGAGGAATGAAGTCATCCAACACAACCATCGTTCTTCTAGCTACACGACGATGCAAGATTGTATCTTCATATAATACAGATATTCGCTTTCAAAATATATATTCAAAACATGCCTTTATTTTATTCATCTGTATACACAATATCCTAAAATTAATCTGATTATAGTGATTTTAATGAGTACGCATTCCAGGTATTCAGAAAATCATCAACGGCATCTGTACGGTATTTTTCTTGTTTATAAATTTTATGAATAGTCGTATAAATAATTGTAGTATACAAGTAGATTCTGAGGTACTTAAGGTTGTAGTTGAGAAAATGGTGATCTATTTAAAATGGTTTCTTTCAACTTATGTTTGCAAACAATTCTCAAGATACAATGTTTATTATATATCTTACATCTTACCATTTTTTCTTGCGGTTGAAACTTTCTACAATGAATGCACTCACTATAATGTTAAGTATCTCATATTTTCAATATTTTTTTTTTTTTGACTCATGGAGATTCATAATAAATAAGATTTTAGACGAAAACATCACGTTCCAATTTATAAATAACCTGAATGGGGTTAGAATTTTTTATTAATATAAAAAGTCCGTTATTACAATAAAAACCGGAAAAAAGTATTTTATTTTCTTCATAAATTCATTTCAAAATTGGGGCGATAGCAAATAATTTTAGAGGCTACGTGAAAGATTACGTAATTGCTTTGCGTTCAGGATCAAACTTCAGAAACCCGAATCAATTATATCTATGTATCGTACCTTATGTTTTACGAATCTTTTCAATACATTAAACAATATTTATTGATACTTTCAATATATATCACGGAAGATATGTGTCGTTAGACATCATACATATGTGTATACAGCAAGGATAACCCATTAATTGTGTTCACATTTAGTATATAGTTTGTTTTTACATATTATGTACAATTGTTTTCAATATTATTTTACGTGCTGTATCCTTTCGACTTAGGACTCAAAAATATCATATTTAAATGCATTTTTTAGTCCTATGACTTAGTTTCATATACAAAAGAATTACTTCCCATCGAATTTTATTGAACTGCGTTGGGTATTGCCATTAATGTGAATAATTTACGTTGTGTTTAATATGCAACAAGTTATAAGATTTAAAGCTACACAGTTTTGAGGTAAGAAACTATTATTTATGCTGATTTGCGTGATATAAAAATTAATTTTAATCCGATATTCTTTTCGCAAACAAAGTCTATATGAATAGAACTGATAAAATTATAATTATTAATTAAAATTATTAATAACTAATATTTTTTTAGTTAATCAAATGTATATTTAAATTAAAATGCAAAATTTCATTTACAAATTTATAGTAAACCTAACATTATTTTAAAATATTTATATGGCTTTCGTTACCATCAGTAATTTCACTACATTTCAGAATTGTTATTTTGTTATCATCTTACTTTTTCAGCATATACAGTGGTCAAAATAATTTAAAATAATACTATACTATCTAAACTTGCAGTTATTAAATGTAGTTTACGTATATTTATGATAATTTTGTGATATTCCTTTTCATTATAATTATTGTATATTTTTAGTACACAATTAGCTATTCAAATTAATTGCAATGTCCTGCGCAGTACCAAGTACTGTAACATTCTACAAATACGATTTTAACTTTTGTATTGATATTTATTTTAATTTTCGTACCAAGTGCATGAGTAATTTGTTATTTATTATCATAGACGTGCAGTGTTGGCCATAGTAATAAAATGAATATAGATAACTTCAATTATTTTATCAGGAGTTGATTGGTTGGAAGAGTATGCCTGTTATCTTCATTGATCACATCTGCACATAACAATATTATACATAGGATATATGAGGAATGTGATATATGAAACAATGGATATATCCGAAATTCCGAATAGAATATAAACATGAATAGTTCATTTAATAGTTAATTTAAATTCTCGCTTAAACATCATTATATTTCAATTTTCGAAATCAGTCTAGTAGTCTAGTAGTCTTCTAATAGTTAATACTGACTAAGGAGCTTCATTGATCTTTGTATATTTTAATAACAACTTACAAATTTATCAATGAATTTGAATTACATTTATGTTTATGTTGAAAAATAATATTTTACTGATGTATTACTTTGTTTTAAGTCTCACGCGTAACGCATAACTTGAATTAGCTTTTCTTGCAAACAATATCATATAAAACCAATCTTCATATAGTAAAATTGGTAAATAGTCTTGTTGAGGTTTGTAAATTGCTTGAAAAGTTATGCTGTATCATGGAGAGTCAGTTTCGATCTGTGTTTTTGTAAATTTTGCAAGGTCATGTTATTTTTAACATTTTTATTTGTTATATATAGTACTTTTTATAGTAATGCAAAACTGATACACAAGCGGCGAGGAGATACTGGTTAAAAGAGCCAACCTTATGGCACTTTGTGTCTAACGTAATGGGCACAGTGGCTACAGAATATATGCTGAAACCAGCATAGAAGTTCTGGAGGGGGTTGATATGCCATATCATTTGTTTCAGACACAGACTACGCAGGGGTTGGTTCTCTTTACTAGTATCTTCTCTGTGACGCAAATAAAAATGTTCAACAACGATATGCTGTATACAATATTGTTGCTATTTAATTCCATAGGTAAGATAATATTATACATGATATAGGTTTATTTCTAATATGAATTATTTTTTTTTACATTTATACGCACATTAGTAACATTAGCTTCATCCTTGAAATTAATGTATTGCGTTTTATTTCGATTTATAAAATGCAGGTTTTCCGTTACATTAGAACAGCCGCCGGGAAGATTTCTTTTGCCCTCTGAAATTCTCTGCTGCTTATTATTTAATTTTTCACCACTTATTAGATAAGATATTTAAAGAGAGAATACTTATCGATAGACTTTCGTACTGAATTTTTACTTAAATTACATATTGTTTACAAATGTGAGGGCAATAGCACGTTAACTCTCTCTTACATATATTTATGTTCATTATTTATATTATATATTCATCGTATTGGATGCAATTATTTTCCAAAGTCGTTTATTGGCCATGACAATATAGGTTACTTATATTTTTACAGTAGAGAATCTGATTCACGTTGTAAAACCCATATTTATAAATATGTTGTACACTTACAATTAGTATTGTTCCTGGTTGCAACAAAACATTTTCTATAAATCTGATTTACTTTGCGATTTGTTTCGAAGGATGTACAGGGTGTTTCTTAAGCCCCGGAGAGGAGATATACCGTTAGACCGGGCGTGAAAAAATAAAAATATTTGCGTCAACAATATTCAAAATTTATAATTAATTTATTAATTATTAAAGATTAAAGTAAGCCTATCATAAGCGCGTAAGAACTGGTAAGTCCTCCTCAGTCTCCTCCCATTGGCGACAGCCAATCATTTATTTCCCCACAAAAAACATTTTGCATTATTCTTTTGTTTATTTACATTACTATATTCGTTTACGTATCTACCGGTCACTGTTTTTGTGGGGAATTAAATGATTGGCTGTCCCCAATGGGAGGAGACTGAGGAGGAGTTACCAGTTCTCACGCGCCTATGATTGGTTTACTTTAATCCGTCATATTTAATAAACTAATTAAAAATTTTGGATATTTTTGACGCCAATATTTTTATTTTTTCACGCCGGATCTAACGGTATGTCTCCTGTCCGGGGCTTAAGAAACACCTTGTATAATGGTCATACCTACTTTTTTCAGTTAGATAAATACTTCAACAACATTCTTTATATAATCTAGTAGCGGAAATATGAGATGTGTTCCAATCAAATAGAAGGGTAATATGAAAGAAATTATCGTGTATTATCATATCCACATAGTTTTTCGGTTTCAGTTTTTTGTCTGGTATGATTGTTTCATAAATCGTATATGGGTTCGATCGTATTCTGAGCAAGATTTTTATAATATCAGTATTGAATGTTTGATATGTCACAAATGTAACGTAGAAGTAAAAGCTAACAATTCGTTTAACAACTGACAGTCAATAGTTTAATTGTCTTACTCTTAAACTACTTTCATTTTACCAATTTCTTATGGTAATATGAATTATTAGAGAGTCGGCCAAATGAAGTTACTCCTCTAGGCTCTCATTTTGAATTTATCTTAAATTCAATTTCATATGTTGAAAACAAAATTTACAGTGAGTTAATATATCTTTTTGATTTATTTCCTACAAGCGTTTGGGTTTCAAAAATTAATATTACTATTCGCATTAATGAACAAAGAAATACTCAATTATTGAAACTTTCTTCTTTGAGTACCATAGTGACAAAGTATGTACAAGTTTGTATTAAATCTTTGTGGATTTGTCTCCATTGACCGTGTAAGGATATACATATATATTTATTTTTTTCATTGAATCAACATCATAGTGTGATACTAGTAAATATTATGTTTACGAATGTGTTCTCAGGAAAAGGCAAACTTATCTTTATTATCAACATTTTTCAAGTTCAATCAAACATTTTCTGTAATTACCGGCAGCCTAACAATAAAATGTGTACTTTTCTTAGCGTTAAATGACTCATCTGATATATCATAGGTTGTAATAGCTATGATTATGATAAGAGTATTTTGTAATTGTAAAGGTCGCAACATCGTTTCAATCGTAAGAACAACAAAGTGTCTAAGTCACTCGTTCAAAATTAATTTAATAAAAAATAACATATTACTTATTAAGAAACATTTTGTTCGTGGAAACATCTATTAAATCTTTTTGTTTAATATTTTATACCACCAAATTCTTCATTTAAAAAATAGTTTTTAATTTTATGTGAATAAACATTATTTAAAGAATTAAGTTATTGGTCAAAAATGACCTGAGTGACTTAGGAGGGTTAAAAGGATTGAGTAATTCAACTATTGAACGATCTATATTATCTTGTATAGATCATCTATTACATAGATATATGAAAATGGATTCTAAAGGACGCGTAAGGTATACGCTAAATGATAGGACCAATACAATGAATTAATAGTGAGATAATTTTGCACATTTATTCTGCTTGTCCAAAAAACCCAAAAATAATGCTTGATATATAAGCAATATTTTAATTACTTACTCTGAAAATTCATTCATATAAAGTAGGAATAATGTTTTTTGAAGATTAGCCCTTGCGTTACGGAAGTCCGCTCCGCCGGAGAACCGCGACTGAACGCGACACTGCGCCAACAGTGTGCACATTTCGCATCGGCAGTCTTCGGTGTTCGAACTTACGTCTACCATCTGAACAACGCCGCGTTCACATTCTTTTGTATGTACACTTTTCAAAGTGTTAAATAACATCTGTTTTGTCGTATTATATGATAAACATTCGTATAAAATTATATTAATTAAATAAGAAACATGAAAATAAGCACATTTTATCATATTATTCTCAGTTGTTTGCATATTTGCAGACTTTACAAATACATGTGTATTATAAATAAACATACAGTGTAGGGCAATTAATATATTAACTTCAAATTTCCAGTAATTTAATTGAGTATGATAAATTTTTAAACAAGGATCGACACACAAACCAACGTTACAATTATTACATTCATATCTCGATGACCAAAATGTGTTACGTATGTTCAACATGTATGATTAATCAAATACGGGTTAACAAAATCAAAAAATACTTTACAGATACGGCACAATTCGTTATCGACTATAGTCGGCGCTCTTACACACAAGTCATCGCGTGGATGCCGATCACAGTCGGCGCTCGTAACGAAAGAGTTAAACTGATATTTTACTGGATTTTTTAGTCTCAGCTCTCCA